TGGACGTCGAAGATTTTCCACACGTTGTAGTTCTTTTCGATGCCGAGGTGTAGTCCCCACTGTGCGCGTTGTGAAAATCAGCCCGCTCGTGCTGCTGGGGGTCGGTACTGTACCATGCATCCGAAAACTCATAACATTTTTGTGCTGCCCTGTTTCCCTGTCCATAGCAGATGCGGTGATGCGTTGTTCGGAAGCGATGATGACGACAGGAAGTTGTGCAGCATGACGGCGTGGTCCATTGCTGCAGGCCACTGGTGGTTGGGTAGCCGCATGCCACGTAACAGTTTGCGCATGCTATTCTGCAGAGTCCTGTTCATTCTTTCTGCTACACCTTGCTGCCGATGGGCGTAGGGAAGGGAGATGAGCTGCTTGATTCCCCTTTCCGCCAGGTACTACTTGAATTGCTGAGAGGTGTATTCTCCTCCTCCGTCTGACTGGAAGCTTTTCAGATGTACGCCCGATTCTCTCTCTGCTGCGGGTAATCAGGCAGCGAAGGCTGCGAGCGCCATGTCGCGGCTAGGGAGGCTTTGGTGCCAGACGTAGCGGGTGGCGGCGTCGATGAAGGTGATCGTGTAGTTGTATGTTACTTGTCCTGGTTCCCAATTGAACAGGATGTCGCTATACACCTTCTCGAGTGGTGCGTACGCGGGTGCGATCGGGTTGTGATGAGGCGTAAACGGTCGATGTGGTAAGTCACCTTCGGGGCAGGTGAAGCACGTTCCGCGTACTCGTTGGAGTTCTCGTCTGTCGGTCAGTAGAATTGAGTCCTTGTCGAGTACTCCTGCTCTTATCGTAGTGTTTAATACTGTGTTGCTTGGGTGCCCCATACTTGCGTGCCAGGTGCTTTCGTCGGCGCGATGTCTGGGTGATCGTTGGTACATATCGGAGTCGGAGTAGAAGTTGGCGGTGAAGTTGGCGCTGCGATGAACTTCTCGTGGTGCTGGGTGTAGTTGTTGCACTCGTGTTGGTGGAGTGTCGTCGATGAGGAGCGGTGTTGACGTTCGTGCTGCTGCCGTTGATGGTTTTGCTACTGTCGATGTTGTCTCTGCTGCTGCCAATGTTGTCTCTGCTGCTGCCGATGTTGTCTCTGCTGCTGTCGATGTTGTCTCTGCTGCTGCCAATGTTGTCTCTGCTGCTGCCGATGTTGTCTGAATTGTTGCTAACGCCCTTGTTCTTTCTGCCTCAAGGATGGTGTGTGAATACCAGAATCCTTCTGTACTGAAGCCTGGATCAAGGTCTGGAGGGTGTGTCCAGTCGGTGAAGTTAACGATGGCGTCGCTGTCGGCGGTGCCAAGGTCAGGGACGAAATCGAGAACGAGGACGTAATTCTTGAGGACCGCCTTTCTGATCTAGAGACCTCCTCTCCCGTGATACAGCTTGAATTCTTGGGTGGTGTTGTCTGCTTCGAGGTGAGTCCCCTTCGCCATTAGCTGGCTGACGCTCAGTAAGTTGTAGCCGAGTCCCTCCGCGATCAGTACTTTTGACATCTGCAGTATAACGTTTGTTTCCCTTGACTGAAGTTGAACTACACCTTGTCGCCGTGTTCGTAGGTTCTGATTGTTGGCGACTGTGATGACAACTTCGCGTCGAAATTGGTGTTCTCGTTGAACGAAGCGTCTTGAAGAGCACATGTGTTGTTTGCAGCAACTGTCCAAGTACCAAGTGTCCCTTCCGGATGGTTCGCTTTGGGCGATGGCGGCGTATGTCGGGTTCGGATGAAGTGACTCGCGGCGAGGCGTGCTGTTGTCGAGTTGTTCTTCTGGTGAGTAATATGGTGGTGACTCAGTTACACAGGAGTCACTCAGCCTTGCCATGCAGCTGACAATGTTTCTTGTTCCTTTCGCAGGTTGTCCCGTCGATGTTGTTGAGACTTGTACTGAAGTTGTCGGATTTGCTTGCGTTGAGGCGACTTTACTACTTGAAGGGCGAAGTTGGCTTTGCGGCGACGTTGACTGTTGTCGATTCGGGTAGTGTGTACGAGGATGCCCTGAAGTCTTGGAGAGGTGGCAGAACGGAGGTACGATTTTCGGTCGATTGTTGTTGTTGTTGTAGCGCCGCTGAGTGTGAAACGCGAATTCGGGCTCTGATACTTTTCTCTTTTGTCATTCTTCTTGGAGGTCCATGTCTTGCTGCTCGGCGTGGATTTCGGCTCAAAGTGCTGCTTCAAAAATTTTCCCGTGGGCTCGTAGTATGGCGCGAGTGGAGCGCCAGTGAGGACCAAGGCCGCTTATGACAACCGTGACGAAGGCGTCCTCTGAAATCGATCCTCCACATCGAAGAAGCTTGTCGCGCAGCTCGCGGCAGCGACTGATATACGCCATTCCCTTCTCGCCTGGTTTCATTTCGATTGTTGTCAGCTGCGCCATTAACCGACTTTGGTTTACGCTGTCTGTTGCTTGATACAGGTTCTTCAAGTGATTGTACGCAAGCTCCGCGGAGTTGCCGTAGCCTCGGTAAGACCGTATGTTTTGTTGTTGAGTTGGAGTGACGTTCCTCAGTAGTATCGTGTACGCCATCATCGATTGATAGGTGTAGTGCTGCTTCTCATACTGTGTGCCGTTTGTTGGGTATGGCAGGGACCCGTCGAAGAAGCCAAGGATTTGCGCTCCTTCCATCATCAGCTCGAATTCGAACGACCAGACAAAGAAATCCTTCCCGTCGAAGGGTTTTGTCGTTTGCATTTTTAAATCGTTCGCGAACTGCAACTGAACTTGTAGTGCGTCCAGCGTTCTCTCTTGTCCCGGTGCAGGTTGTGGTTGCGGCATGAAGCTGACGGAGCCGCGCTGGGGCTCGTACGGAGCGAAGGTAGGTTGCTGCTGTTGATTCCCGCGTGCGTAGGATGAGCCATCAAGACTCATGGGCGTCACGTTGTTGTTGATGTTGCTGTTGTTTGATTGCGCAGGTGCTCCTTGCTGATGCTGTTCGTAGAAGGACATGAAGGAGAAGAACTTCTCCATCATGCTTGGATCGAAGCCCGCACCTTGGTTTGCGGGTGTTTCAGTAGACCCAGCTGCCGGTCTCGTTGTTGTGCCTTCCTCTGTCTGTAGGCAAGAGGCAGGAGGTGGAGTAGGAGTAGTACCAGGAGAGCCATTGGAGGAGCTCCTCTCCTTTCTGGTAGACATGTCTCTTGGTGTATTATGTGTTTAAAGTAAAAAATAATTTTAACCCTAACCTGCTCTCATACCATGTTGGGCTGAGTGCCCCTTAGGATCTTTGGTAGGGTCAAACTTCTGGGTAGAGTGATGTAGTAGCGGAAGCGTTTAATAAAGAGATTCTGAACCACCTTGCGCTAGTATGTGAGGGCAAAGTAAGTTGATTAAAACAAGCAAGTACAAAGGTTTATATAAGAGTACAAGGAATACGAAGAGATATAATTCAGCTGTTTTAGTGTTGCGGCTCGATACAGTGCGACTCGGGCAACTGCTCAATATCGAGTCTGTTGTGTGTTCTTGCTGTCGCGCTGTATTTGTCAAGTCAAAGGTCGTTGACCTTTGACTTTCCCGTAACCTCCAGCGGTTACTTCAACCTCCGCGGGGTTGACTCGCTGGTGTCTCGATATGCTCTGCTTCGCTTGTGCCTTGGTGTTTCGACACGACAGAGGCGCTTAGGACTGATTGTTTCCAACATTGAATAGATGCGCTACACATGATTTGCGTTCACGTCCAGTAGATGTTTCTCGTCAATTGTGTTTCGTGACGACTGATTGTTCCATTCGCCGTATTTATCGGCGATCATGGAATGAGAGGTGACATTTGGTTTATTTTTTGGGGGACTCTTGGTGTCAGTGCTTTCGTCATGTCCACAACTTTGGAGCACTCTTTTTGAAAACGTTGAAACGAGGGCTTTAAACGTTGGGAAAATGACAAAAACTGCATTGTTCATTCGAGTCGACCTAAAAGTGCTACCAAATGTATTAGGGTTGCGAAGCAACCCAAAAACGAATATTGATGCTTTGGTTGGCAGCTTGTTGTAGCGTATATAATGTGTATGGAACTCCTTTAAGCGCGTGTTATGTGTATCGTGACATGCAAGGTACCCTCTGTCGCGCCATTTGAGGATCCCACCTGCGTTACACATCTAGCTTGGCGGCCAAGCTTGGTAGTTCCCGAATCCCGAAAACTAGGCAGGAGGGGAGGTATGGAATGGATTTTAGGCGACATCCACGCATATTTGAACCTAGCCACTAAAGTGGACGCACACGGTCCCAGTGCTTTCATGGCTAGGGAAAGGTTGTTCCTAAGGACGGTCGTTTCAGGCCCGGTTGGATCACCACCAGACTCCCCCCTGTCGCTGCCTCGCCAGCATGTGCGATTCGAACCCTGGTTCTGGCTCAGAAAATTTCCCTACTTAACAGGACGTCATGTGCTTACTTGAGTACTATCCCTTCGTCGCTCCTCTGAACTTCGAAGCCGCACCCGTCTGAACTTGGACCGTCGCACCCGGCGCCGGTGAGCATGGCTAGCAGGATTCCGACCATGCACGCGCGAGCGTCGCTCGCAGTCGCGAGCTTGCTCGCGACCTTCATCGGCGCGCTATTCGTGCCGAGAGCGGCGGCGCAGACGCCTGCATCGTGCTACGCGTCGACTCTCTCGGGATACGACGTCGCGGTGTCGCTCGGCGACAGGTGCGTTGCGTTCAGCGAATGATGCGCTCTGCCGGTGAGTGGGCACAGCTCATCCAATAACTCGGTTCTCATCGCTTGTGTGTACAATGTTGTCCTGGCTGGTCCTGGCTGCTCCTGGTTGGTCCTGGTTGGTCCTGGTTAGTCCTGGTTAGCGGCCTGAAAGAGCTGCATCGCGATCCGGCTCGGCTCGTCCAGTGTTTGGACATGCTGCCTTGTTGGCCCCTCTCGCAGCCCTCGTCGCGCCATGTGAGCCGCGCGCCCTGGATCTCGCCGACATGAGACTTTCTCCCTCCTGTTCATCCTCCCTCACTTCCCCCAACCCCCTTCTCCTCTCCACCCGGTCTCAACCCCCTTTCTCAAATACGCCCTTCCCCAGTCTCGTCCTCCACTGGAAGCGGTCGAACTCGACGGAACTCCACCTCGCGCTCGTGACGTCCAAGCCTGGCTGGGCGGCACTGGGATGGTCTGTGGGCGGCAAAATGGCCGGCAGCGACGCCGTGATTGGCAACACTGACGGGGCGAAGCCGATTCAGGCGTACAGGCTTGAGTCTCTCTCCATGGAAGGCGTGAAGCCAACGGATACTTTCAGCCTGGGCAACAAGACGTCAGTGACGGCTGGAAACAGCGGATCAACTGTTATTGCGTGAGTACACTTTAATTTTCTCAGCCCGGGCAATGCTGTGATTAGAAGCCGATTCAGGTGTACAGGCTTGAGTCTCTCTCCATGGAAGGCCTGAAGCCAACGGCTTCGTTCAGCCTTGGCAACAAGACGTCAGTGACGGCTGGAAACAGCGGATCAACTGTTATTGCGTGAGAACACAACAATCTTTGAGTCGGCTCAGATCTCGTACAGGCTTGAGTCTCTGTCTATGGACGGTGTGAAGCCGACAGGTAATTTTTGCCTGGGCAACGCTTTGATTAGCAGCTGATCCAGGCGTACAGGCTTGATTCAACTCTCTCCATGGAGGGCGAGAAGCTGACAAATCTGTTTAGCACGGGCAACAAGACGTCAGTGACGGCTGGGAACGACTGATCGACTACGGATACACAACGATGCAGGTGTGAGAATGTAGTGGTGATTCTGTGACAGAATTCTGCAGCATTTAGCTGTAACATAATCGTTCAGATGCCATGCACACTATTGTGGTGAATCTGTTCAAATGAAAGGCTCCCTGGCGTGTCATCAATACACGTAGTGTAGGCCTGTGAGAGTGCCAGCTGTTAGCTCTGAATTTCAGCACCAAACACCTATTTTATGTTCTCGCACACAAGGCACGGGTGATGTTCCATCGAGGCTTTTGGTTTGAAGGTCAGCCCGAGATTCAGATTTAATCATACTTGATCACCCATGTTTTGTTGAACTCGTTTGCCTGCAGATTCTCTCGCATGGAGGGCACTGGTGTTGTACCTGTGAAGCTCTCTGGCCCTTCCTCCATGATCTTCTCTTCCTCACAGGATGGCTCGAAAACTCTTGCTTATCATGGCCCTGCAAGGTACGGTGCTATCAAATGTAATTGGCACACAGCCACGCTAGTCATTCCACCGCTCCCTGTTTAACATGCGTTGCAGGTTCTATGCGACACTTCTTGTGTTTTCCATTTGTTTAACCTGCTGGTCTTCTTTTCTTCCAGGAGGACCGAGACTGTTGATTTCGCCTGCAAGATTGGACCACCGCCGCCCCCAATGGCAGGAGGATTGGCCTTTAGCCGTGCTTTTTGGGCGGTGCCTGTTGCTCTCATAAGTGGGCTCCTTCCTTATTTTATTGGCTTGGCTTGAGAAATGCTAGTGGTTGATATATACTGTGAGATGTTATGTGAAGTGAGTGATGCTTTCGATTCCTTTTTGCAATTCGATAATATTCACTTAACTTCAAATGCACAATACACACTTGTCAGAGTGAGGAATGAGTGTTGCATTGATGTTGGTTGGGGTACATATGACAAACCCTAACTTCTGTACCCCCTAAGACAAACCTCACTACAGGCTACAACATTTGACACACCCCCATAGCCTAAGTGAGGGGTGTCTAGCAAAAACAAAAAGAGTACGGTCACAAGACCAGTCCAAAAGAAAACAAAGCTCAGGGTGGATCACAACGTCACCACACACTCTGAGCACAAGCAACAGTGGCCACAAGGCCAGTCCAAGAGATCACAAGTATATATAGTAAATGTACAGACGAAGCAGGCAATAAACTCAAGTCTACGCATGACTAGAACCTGTGTCAACAAGGCCTAACTGCACACAACACCTCTGGTGGTCACAAGGCGGAAGCGCCTTGGTGAAGATGTCTGCAGTGTTGGCCTCGGACTCTACGAACTCGAAGCGAGCCTGTCCACGCCTCTGCAACTCTCGCAGAAGAAAGTACCTGATGTGAATGTGCTTCACTCTGCTCTCCAGTCGCGGCTCACGACAGAGGAGGATCGACGCCTTGTTGTCAGTAAACAAGGTCGGTGCAGAGCTCGGCCGCTCACCAAGGTCAGTGAGCAAGAAGGTCAACCACCGCAACTCCTGTGCCGCCATGGCACCAGCGTAAATCTCAGCCTCAGCTGTAGAGGTCGAGACAGAAGAGGAGCGCGTGGAACGCCAGGAAACAGCTCCAGAACCCAGACTGAAACAGTACCCCTGAGTAGACCTGTGAGTCTCAGCGTCGTCAGCGTAAGAGGAGTCACAGTGACCAGTGAGTACGACAGACTGCTGCCCTCCAAGAACTAGCCCCACGCCTGATGTAGTCGCTAGGTACTTCGCCACCCTCACAGCTGCCGTCCAGTGAACAGGACGGTGTCTCCCTGGCGCAACAAAGCGCGCAAGGATGCTGAGAGGGAAGGCGAGGTCCGGGCGAGTACAAGTCATCAGGTACATGAGGCAACCCACAAGCTCTGCGTAGGGACCACTAGGCTCAAACGGCTCGTCAGGAAAGGGACCAGTGAGTCTGTGGTCAACAGCTAGAGGTGTGCGCTGTACGGTGGAGTGCTGAAGCCCGAACCGCTGAAGGACCTGCTGCACCATGTGTGACTGTGAGAGTGTAATGGTGCGAGCGGCTCTGTCCCTGGTGATCTGCAGGCCAAGGTAGTGGCGCAGTTCACCAAGATCAGTGCACGTGTGTCTCTTCTGCAGTTCGGACTTCACGTCTGCCAAAGCAACCCTGTCCGGAGTGGCGAAAACGAGGTCGTCGACGTAAACCAGAACAAAGAACGGTGTGGAGCCACGACGAACGAACAGCGACGGGTCGGCAGAAGACGGCTGGAACCCAAGGTCAGAGAGGGTAGAACGCAGAGTGTCGTGCCACTCACGAGGGGCCTGGCGAAGACCGTAAACAGGTCGCCTCAGCCTCCACTGGGTCCCAGGAGGGAAGGTGCCAGTGAAGGCCGAGGGACGACGCAACCAGACCTCCTCGTGTAGGCTGCCCTGAAGGAAAGCAGTGGAGAAGTCAAGAGAGTGTAACTCGTAGTCTCTCTGTGCTGCTACGTGTAGTAACACCCGAAGAGTGGTCATCTTCGGGGTAGGTGCGAAGGTCTGAAAGAAGTCAACTCCCTCGCGCTGACTGAAACCTCTAGCCACGTAGCGCGCCTTGAAGACCGGGGGAGATCCCGGTGGCCGCTTCACCCTGTAGATCCACATGCCGTCGACTACGTTCGCCCCCGGGGGGGGAACCTCATCGACGTAGGTGCCTGTGGATCTGTAGGAGGCCATCTCTGCGTCCATGGCAGCTCTCCACTGAGAGGCCCAAGGCCCTGACACTGCCTCAGCGTAAGTGCGAGGAGTCGGAATGTCAAGGGCGTCGGGGTCACCCTCAGGGGCGAGGAGCATGGCACAGAGATGAGGGGAAGCGGCCGCCAGGAACTCTAGCTCAAACTGCCTGTCCTCTAGGGCGTCACGGCCAAGGGCAGACACACCCCCGACGGCCAGAGGACTGGTAGGAGGAGCAGCCACAAGCGTGGTGGCGTAGTCAAGGCGGCGGGTAGAGGCAAAGTCAGTAACTGCGGCAGTAAGAGCGGACACAGAGGACACAGAGGCACGAGGGTGAGTAACAAGAGAGGCGAGAACACGAGAGAGAACAGGACGGTACGTGCGGTAGTAGTCAGTGACAGGAGTAGGGAGCGACACAGTGAGGGCCGACTCAGGAGGAGACGGAAGCACAGACTGAGACGGACGAGGTGGACTAGAAAGAAGGAAGGCAGTACGAAGGTCAGTGAAGGGAACAGGAGACGAGGGACGAGCACGAGGGGAGCGACGAGTAGCCCAAGAACGAGACGGAGGAGAAGAGGACAAGGGCGGAGAACTGGGGAAAACAGCGGGGGAGGAGTCAGGAGGAGGAAACGTGGGACCGTAGACAGGAGGAGAGGCGGAGGAGGGAGGAGAAGGGGAGGGGAGACCAAGGATCCGAAGACCCGAGACAGGAGGAGGAAGTGGCTGCTGCTGCTGCGGCTGCGACTGCTGCTGCTGCGGACGCGGCTGCTGCTGGGACTGCTGCTCCTGCGGGTCCAGCTGCTGCTGCTGCTCCTCCAGCCGCTGTAACTCCCTCTCCTCTCTCTCCAACGCCAGCTGATCGTCACGGGCACGGCGAACACGAGCCTGGTGCCTAGTCGGGTAGGGGTGGGGGGGCGGAGTAGTGTCCGAAGCAGCGGCAGCTCCAGAGTCCACTCCAGAAGAACTAGGCTCACCACCCCCAGAGGCAGCACTAACACCAGCTCCAGACCCAGGCTCACCTGAACCCAAAGGAGGCGCACCCTCACCCCCAGACGCAGCACCCCCAGTGTCCGCGCGGCCAGCACCAGCTCCCGGACGACAAGCGTCCTCTGCACCCACCTGGTCAGCTCCAACTCCAGAACCAGAAACTCCAGCTCCAACCCCAGCTCCAACTCCAGCACCCCCAGAACCAGAAACTCCAGTGCCAACTCCAGCTCCAACTCCAGCTCCAACTCCAGCTCTAACTCCAGCACCCCCAGAACCAGAAACCGGTACAGGAACAGGCGTCGCACCAACCTCTCGAGAGCTAGCACCAGCGGCACGCTGCGAGGAGGACTGTGGGGAGGGAGGCTGTACCGGAGGGGCTACCGAAGGAGGAGGGGTAGCCTGGGACACACCTGACGGGGCTGGACCAGGGGGGGGAGGCTGTACCGGGGGAGCAGGAGGGGGAACGGCAGTCAGGAAGAGGGGGGGAGGAGGAACCGGGAGACCTCGACTGGGGTACCTGACGTAGTACGGAGTGGACTCCTCGAAACGGACGTCACGGGAGTCAAAGAACCGGTGAGAGGGAGGGTGGTAAAAGGTGAAGTCAGAGGAGTCCTCAGGGAAACCAAGGAAGACACAGGGGACGGCACGAGGCGAGAGCTTGTCCGCGGAGGTGTCGCGGACAAGAGCCAAGCACCCCCAGACACGAAACCGCGACGCAACACCAGGGAACCCTGTCCAAAGACTGGTCGGTGAAACCTCTGGTCGAGAGACACGTGGCCAGAGGTTCAGCTGGTGCGCGGCGTACCTGACCGCGTAGGGCCACAGAAAATGGGGGGCACAGGCGTGAGTCAGGGAGGTGCGGGCGATCTCCATGACCAGGCCTATGCGGCGCTCAGCAACCCCATTCTGCTGTGGGGACTCTGGAAGCGTCCAGGACTGACGAATGCCCTGCTCGCGACAGAATCCAGCGAGAATGCCGGAGCGAAACTCACCCCCACGGTCGGAGTGGAGACAGCTGACACGACGACCACGAGTGTCCTCGGTGGTGAGCAACCACCTGATCAGCGTAGAAGTCACCTCAGACTTCTTCGCCAGAGGGAACACTGTGGTGTAGCGGGAGAAGTCGTCAACGACCACCAGAAAGTAACGCTCACGCTCAGGGCCTAGACGAGGGGCTGGGCCCCAGACGTCCAAGTGAAGCGTCTCAAAAGGCTCGGTGGCCGGACGAAGGGAGGAGGAGTGAGGGGTGGCGCGCAGCCTACCCTCGACGCAGGGACGACACGGCGGCGCAGGCGAAGGTGGCAGCGACGGCAAGACACGTGGGAGGCCTAGGACAAGACGCTGACTAGACATAGCGCGCAGACGTGGAAGGGACGGGTGCCCCATCCGGTGGTGCCACAGAACGGTGGGGTGGGCAAGCGACCGGCAGGAGCACGACGCAGCGACTGGAACAGACGGAGGAACCTGACACGACACAGACACCTGGGGGGACGTAGCAACCTGGTGAGACGCGGGGACCCGAACGGGGGGGGGAACCGGGGGCAGTGGCAGTAGGGGGGGCTGCTGGTGCGGCCGCTGGTGCTGCTGCTGCTGCTGCGGCTGCGGCTGCTGCTGCTGCTGCGGCTGCTGCTGCGGCGCACGCGGGCCAGTGTGAAGAGTGTAGAGACCCGAGCCCGGCTCAGCAGTAAAGGTAGCAAGAGGCTGGTAAGAGTCTCCGTCAACACACACCGCAGTCTCTCCAGAAGGCTCAAACCACACACCCACGTGCTGGCTCACGAGGGGTCGCACGCCCACCAAGTTCCGGGAGAACGAGGGG